GGACGTTTTGTTGCTATTTTATTTATTTGCTTTTGAGAGGAGAGTAGCTTGTTCAATACCTGGTAGAAACAACTTGCTCTACAAAAAGTATTCCTGTGCAACTTTTGGCAAGTCTTGAACTGAAAGTTTTTTCCCCAAGCCAGGATTTATTTATTTTTTTTTTAAATGGTCCAGACTCCAAATCCCCACGTTTTTTTATGGACTAAAGTCCCCAGAATGTTTTCTTTACAAATTGAACATGACAGAAAATACGAGTCAACATGTTTGAGGCTGGAGAACGGTACTCGGCAAGAAAAAAGAGAAAACCCCTAGAACTTAATGAACATATTTAAACACAGAGAAAACAGTCATCTAAAAGCCTCACATCTGATTTTTAAGTGGTAACTTCAGCAGTTTTGTTTATATATCACTAACCATACCTAGAATTGCAACTGAAATCAAAACCAGCCAAGTGAAAAAAAATGAATCCTGTGACTCTTAAAAGGAAGCGGTTGCCTTAATACTGATCTCTTTGTCAAAACAAAGAGATTTGGAACACAGCATATCCCAGAGACCATTATTACCAGATTAGAGGCAAGGGGAAAGAATATTTTAATTTTTCTCTAGCAGGAGAGAAAGCTACTGAAGAGATGTTCCTACTTTTCTGTCTGCAAATTCCAGGGGGGGAAGCAATTCTATGGGGAACACCCCAAAAAGCATTGTAATAGCACCAATCCTTCTGGCTAGCATTTAATGGGAACAGTTTGACTTCCAGATCATATGTAAGTTAACAACCTGCCAAATAAAAAAATAAAATCTCCCCATGTTGGGAATCTCACTATGCTCCAAGACCAAAACTAATACAGAGATTTGTTGATGGTGAAACACGAGTTCTGTCTTTTCAAGAGGAGGGGTTTTCAAAGAGTCACAGAATCACCGCAGTTAGGAGGGACCTCTCAAGTTGGAGTCCAACGCTCCTGCTCAAGCGGGGTCAGCTACAGCAGGTCGCCAAGCACTGTGTCCTGCCAGGTTTTGAATATGTCCATAGATGGGAACTCCATAACTTCCCTGGGCTACTCCTACCAGTGTTTGACCATCCTTACTGCAGAAGAAGTTCTCCTGTGTTTAGATGGAACTTCATGTGTTTGAATTAGTGCCCTCTTGTCCTGTCACTGAGCACAACAGAGAAAAGCCTGGCTCCATCCTCTTCGTTACCTCCCATCAGGTATCTATACACATTGATAAGACCCCCCTGAGCCTTCTCTTGTCCAGGCTGACCAGTCCCAGCTCTCCGAGCACCACCTCACATGAAAGATGCTCCAGTACATCCATGTCTCTTGTACTGGGGAGCCCAAAAGTGGACAAAGTTGCAACCTCAGATGCGACCTCACCAGTACTGAGTAAAAAAGGATCACCTCTCAACCTCCTGGTAACACTCCTCATGCAGCCCAGAACGCTGTTGGGCTTTTTTGCCATGAGAGTCCATTGCTTGCTCATGGTCATCTTGTTGTCCACCAGAACCTCAAGGTCCTTCTCTGCAGAGCTACTTTCCTGCTGGTCAGCCTCCAGCATTAACTGGTGCCTGAGGTTATTCCTCCTCAGGTGCAGGATTCTGCATTTTCCTTTACTCAACTTCATGAGGTTCCTCTCTGTCCAGTTCTCCGGCCTGTCCATAACCCCCTGAATGGCAGCACAACCATCTCATCTATCACCCAGTCCTCCCAGTTTTCTATCACCTGCAAACTTGATGAGGGTGCACTCGGCATTACTGTCCAGGTCACTAACGAAGGTTAGAAAGTACTGGCCCCAGTACCGATCCCTGGGGTACACCAATAGTGACTTGCCTCCAACTAGACTTTGCACCACTGAGCACAAACCTCTGGCCTGGCCATTCAGGCAGTTTTCAGTCCAGCTCTGTCTACTTACGTAAGCCATTCTTGGTCAGCTTGTCGACATGGATGTTATGGGACACAGCATCAAAAACCTTATTCAAGTCAAGATAAACAACCTCCACTGCTCACCCCTCACCCACCAAGCTACTCACCTTGTTGTAGCAGGCTAACAGATTGGTTGAGCACAATCTGCCTTTCATAAATACTTGCTAACTATTACTGATGACATCCTAGGTGTATCTGGTACAACCCAGCTCACCAGAACCTTTCTTTCCACAATCATCAACACGCTTATGAGGAAAAGCCTCCAATCTCCTTCTCAAGTTCAGAGTTGTAAGCAGCAGTCCAGAATTCCCTGTGGTTAAAAGTCTACAAAATGAGGTGGGTCTAGAAGGTCTCAACACTCTTCACACAGACTTCTGATGCATAGGATTTTTGTTCCCATTCTCTTTCATAACTCGGTCTCCAGAAAAGACTTCAGGCTGACACAGAACTGCAGAAGTAGCGCAATGCCCCATAGGATGTCCAAATCCCCTTTCATTACTAACCAAGCATATCCAGCTCTTTGCTTAATGACTGCCATCCACTTCTGAGAATCTGAGAAAGCACCTTGCATCTTTACCAAGAAAAGGTACTTAACAAAAGCAAGTCTCAAGTTTCTGAAAATAATGACTCTCCTTGATGGCACCTAAACACTGAAAAGATTGCAGCAGGAGAAGAAAATCAAGCTTGCAACCAGGAACCAAAGGCACAAACACGCTTTCTACAATCGAACTATTTCACCTTCCCTAAATGAAAATATGCCTACTGTGTGGTTTCTCAACCAACTCTGACAGATTTGTGGAAGTGAAGCAAAAAGAGATAAGAAAGAGGGCATGAGGGGCAGCATTTTCAGAAGCAGGTAAAGTATACGTAAGTCCTTCAGACATCTGGGATTATGTTAACTCTGAGAAACACTTAGAAGTAATCTCTGGTGCATTCACAAAGGAACAGTTCTGTACAGGTGTACTGGGTTTGCATGGCAAGCTTTTGATAGCAGGGGGGCTACAGGGGTGGCTTCTGTGAGAAGCTTCCCTGATGTCCAACAGAGCCAATGTCAGCCGGCTCCAAGACGGACCCGCAACTGGCCAAGGCCGAAGCCATCAGTGACGGTGGTAGTGCCTCTGGGATAACATACTTAAGAAGGGGGGAAAAAACTGCTGTGCAACAGCAGATGGAAAGAGAGAGGTGAGAGCGAGAGAAACAACTCTGCAGACACCAAGGGCAGTGCAGAAGGAGGGGGAGGAGGTGCTCCAGGCACTGGAGAAGAGATTTCCCCTGCAGCGTGTGGAGAAGACCATGGTGAGGCAGGCTGTCCCCCTGCAGCCCATGGAGGTCCACGGTGGAGCAGATATCCACTTGTAGCCCATGGAAGGGACCCCATGCCGGAGCAGACGGATGCCCAAAGGACGCTGTGACACCGTGGGAAGCCTGCACTGGAGCAGGCTCCTGCCAGGACCTGCGGACCTGTGGAGAGAGGAGCCCACGCCGGAGCAGGTTTGCTGGCAGGGCTTGTAACCCCGTGGGAAGGGACCCACGCTGGAGCAGCTCATGGAGAACTGCAGCCCGTGGGAGGGACCCCAGGCTGGAGCAGGGGCAGAGTGTGAGGAGCCCTCCCGCTGAGGGGGAAGGAGCAGCAGAGACAACGTGTGATGAACTGACCGCAACCCCCATTCCCCGTCCTCCTGCGCCACTCGGGGAGAAGAGGGAGAGAAACGGGAGTGAAGTTGAGCCCCGGAAGAAGGGAGGGGTAGGGGGAAGGTGTCTGAAGATTTGGTTTTATTTCTAATTATCCTACTCTTGATTGGTAATAAATTAAATTAGTTTTCCCCTAGTCAAGTCTGTTTTTCCCATGATGGTAACTGCTGAGTAATCTCTCCCTGTCCTTATCTCGACCCACGAACCTTTCATTGTATTTTCTCTCCCCTGTCCAGCTAAGGAGAGGGAGTGACAGAGCAGCTTTGGTGGGCACCTAGCATCCAGCCACGGTCAACCCATTCCAGTCTTTCAATACTGGAGAAGGGTGTTTTGGTGAGAAAACACATCATTACTGCCCAGAAGAGACACAGTGAAACAACTTGGGAAGAAAGTTTAGCTGCTCCAAAGGCCAACTGACAGAAGGCAGGACATCTAGAGAGATGTGTCAGTCACAGTACCAAGTAACACCTTTGCTTAAAATACTATTCAACATGTAATAGCACACATGCAATATATGCCTGGGACTACCATTAGTTTCAGTAGATTATCTTTTAAACTTTCTGATTTGGAAGAGAAAAAATCTACTATACTGTTTTCTTGAACCAAAAAGATTGCCATGAAAATCCAGAAAAAATCATATAACTAAAAACTTCTGTTACACTGTTCTTCCTGTATTCATGACACATTTCATAAATACTGTCAAATTGGCATGTCATTAAAACATGATTTCACACCTTAAAGTGGTTTATGGTGGGCTAAGCAACAAAGAGAGTTGAGTCAGAATGAAGACTAATATGCACCTGTTCTGAGTAAAATCTGGTGGCTCAGATCCCTTTAGAACCAGAAATAAAATTAAGCTTCCAGTTCTTACAATCTTACGAGCAGGAACTGAATTCACAGTGAAGTTTCTAATCCCAGTAAATTTTGATTAAATAAGCATCGGAAGTTATTCTAAATAACCACCAATACCAACTTAATATTACTTCCAAGTTAAAATCTCATTTAATGCAATCGCTTTTTAATTAACAGTGGAATTTACTCTCAAGGAAACTCTTCGTAATTAGTATTTTTACAATTAATTTATTTTTGAAAGCCCAAACATATTGCTGGTCTTAATCTTACTAGTGTTTAAGAATTTTCCAGCAAGGCTTTTACCCATTTTTTCCGTGAGTATTTTTTTGCATACTACATGTCTGAACATTCACCTTTTAAAGCAGCTTCCTTCAAAGTATTATTTGATGACACTAGAAAAACATCAGCTGTTTGACAGCTATTATATTTTTCATTCTTTTTTCAACTCAACTCACAACAAGGTTTAGGCATCTGCTGCAAAGGGATGGAGAGCACTCGGAGTTTGTATGCTGTCATCTACAATTAGTGTTGATGTATTACCTCTGTCACAGCCCAGTGGTGTAAAAACTGGTCCAGATCAGTTAGGTAAAGACGGACAGGTGAAAGCTGTGTCTGGCTAATGTGTGGTTTTCCTCTAATGCCCTGGAGACTAGTCAACTCCTCTCTTGAAAACCCTAGAGAAAAAGAAGCAGTACAACAGTATCACGAAACAAGCCAAGCACTGTTCTACTTCAACAGCATCACTGACAAAAACGGTCTTTTAAATTATGTCTGCATAACATTTTTTTCTAAAAGCTCATGCTTGGTATTTTAAATTAAGTATATCAAAATACAAATTCTGACTTCTGAAAGAAAACAAAAATATTTGAAAAAATCAATGGCATACCCATTTAAACTATAATGTGGTATTAAAAAAAACTGTAAAAGGCCAATGTTATGCTGCTATTTTCAATGTATGTATCTTTAAAAATATTTTTAAAAACCAGGTATAATGCAAGACAGTTCACCATGTGTTCACAATAACTCAGTAACCTTCTAACATAACCTCAGGGTTAAAAAAAAAAATACAAAAATCATTTGGCTAGTTATTTGTAGCCAGGTGTTAGATATGTTAGTAAAACAGGACTACTGCTTCAAAACAGTCACTTTGGTTTTGCTTTTGTTTTCTCAATTATCAGTACAGAACTCTCTTCACTATTTTAGGAAAAAAAAGTAATTTTTGAAAGCAAAGTAGTTGAACATCATGAATAACTGAAGTGAAGAAGAGTCTTTTTACCACAGGACAAGTTACTGAAAGATATTTATCAGTAACATTATGCCATTTGAACCACTGTAGTTTCCCAAAGTCGCATCACCACAGAATACAACTATTTTTATATCTGAGTAAGAATATAGTAGCAGAAGTAACTCTGCTCACGTGCTGACCTTGGGCAGCTCACTTCAACACACACTTTGATTACTTTATTCTGATGGAATGTTTTTAATTGCATAAGCATGTCCACAGGAAATCCCAGAGGCACTCATTTATATTTTAAAAAGCCAATAAAATGCATTTACTTAAATCTAGGAAAAAAATTCTTGTTCATGTCATATGCTGAATTTAGGTTTTCCTCATATTTTCTAAAGAAAGTTGCTAGAATGAAGAAAAAGCATGCAAATACTAGGTCCAAATGGCAAAGTGTAAAAATAGGACATCAAACAATTCAGATCCAGAGAAAAAAGGGTATCTCCTATCAAAAATATGTAACAAGATTAGAATTACTTCAGGAAGTACTTACTACACCATTTACTCTAAATTAAATCCAGTAATTGACTATCAAAACAAATTTCATTTGTTCATTCTGAATCATGACATTCACATGGATTACCTATAAGGGTTGAAAACAAGAAGCTGAAATAGTCCACATCATTCACTGAATTATCCTGCACTTGGCACTTCCAGCCTGCAAAGGATGATCTACACAAAACCAATAGCAGATAGTTTATTAAAAACCATGTAATTAAGAATTCACAACCTACCTGCATAATACAATCAATTAGCATGACTAAACTGTTAATTTTAGCATTCCTGTTTCTAACTGCTGTTGTTAGAGTAGCATTTTAAATAGCTTCAAAAGCAGAACTCGCTCTTTTCAAGACAAGGAATATTGAACTTTGCACCCCTATGGGCTTAGGTTGTTAAGTTGATTAAATTACTGAGATAGCAACTTTTCATAAATACCGGTATAACCTTTAATATATTGATGACAGCCAACACAAAGTAAATTAAATTAGTTTTATTTCCCTTATTTGGTAAAAGTCATCATATTACAAATCTGGGCTGCATTTTTCATTATCTCCACTAGTTTTAATACAGCTCTTTACATGAACAATAGATCCCGTTTAAAAGTAGTCTCAGCATCTATTTTAGAGTAGCTAAAGCTATTAAACACAGAACTAAATTAAAAACTTGCTTCGAGATTTAGAACACAAAAAGGAGCAAAGACAGGAGCAAACCCGTTATCAAAGCTGCCTTACACTTTGCTTTTTAGGGGCAATCCGTAAGAAGCGGAACACCAGTCTACTCTTGTTTCTCCAATTAGAAGCCTTACGCGCTTGTGGAAACTCGGAGCAAACAGACACCACCGACCACCTAACGGTAGCGTCTTGCCCGTGTATCTGTGCAGACCCAGGAGAAAGCCAAGAGCTGGGAACAAGCACATCTCACACACGCTTTCCTCAAAAGGCTGCGGCTCACTCAGACCTACATCACATTATGCAAACGCATATTATTCACATTTGGCTGTGTGTTGCTCTTGGCACTCGCACTGCGGACCACGGATCTCTGCTGTAAGAGACTGCTGCTTTCTGTTCTTACAATCTTGTTAAATTTCAGAGCTTCTGAACACAATTTTGTAAGCCAGCTATCTGCCTCGGATCACTTTTATCCTAATTTCTCTCTGCTAACAGCCAAAATGGCGTAGCTCATGGGTAACAAAATTCTGGAAAGCTTGTTTTTCAGAAATTTGTTACAGCTCCATCTTTGGGAGCAAAAATAGAAAATTTGGAATACCTTTGCACCAGGCACACACATTTTGCCACCCTATGAAAATTCATCCACAATATTTCAGCATTCACAAAAATGACAGCTAGAATATGCATGTGTCTGCAGCTACTCCAAAAGAAAGAAAAAAGGAATTTCAGAATTTCTTTAAAGAAAAAAAATCATGATTTAATCAAACTATCACATAGGATAAATAATTCTAGGGGGAAAAAAAAAAGAAAATCACAGCTAGGTGAGAGAGAACAAAGCAAGGCTTTATCAACTAAAGCTCCCACTTCACGCTGTATCCTTAATGGCAAATCCTTATTTCCAGGTATATTTCAGGAGACCTAGCGACTCTGCGATGCAGACAGTGCTGCATGGTCCCTTCTCATTCCTCGGTCCTCCTCTGAGGCCTGGCTCCTTGCTTCTTTTTCCTAAGCTGCAGTCTCTCAATCTCTCTCTGCTCATAAGGCTGCCACTTGGCTGCCAACATCCAGCTCTCCAGAGACAAACCCCTTGGCCATGGCCAGGAGCCTTCTCCCAGGAGAAGGGAGGATTTCCTCCCTGCTTCCAAGGAGGTCCCAGTCCGATTCATTACAGCATCAAAGAGATTTCACACACACTCAACTAAATCAGCAAGAGGTCTTGCAACCTACTTCCTCAGAGATTCTACGTAAGGTAAATACACACACAAGAATTAGATCCATATACCAGAAGAGAGAACGAAGCCCATGTCCTGTTCAGCACAGGGAAGAAGCTGCCTGAATCCAACGCAGAGGGACCATGAGTCAGACTCCAGGTCACTCCATATACCAAAAATAAGCACTGGGGAGCATGAAGAGAGATTCAGGAGAATTTAGGACTTACTGGACACAGAAATTCAAACTGTGATGCAATCACTGAGCAAAATGGTGGGAACGCAAGAGGCTGGAAGAGATACATCAGATGACAAGCTGCAAAGGGAATCGGGGAAACATGAAGATAAAAACATCTTGGGCAGGAAGACAGACAACATGGAAAGAAACTGTGATAAGCCCCCATTCGGGGAGCAGGAACTTGCATGGCAAAGCTAGTCAGAATCTGGTATAAAATAATACAATATAAAAATATTTCCCATGCAACAGTTAGAAGATGTGTCAAATTCCTCATAATAGGACCAGTGGATGCAATATTTTTTACACAAACTGCAGAAGACACTGAACAAAAACTCAAGATTCACTGCAGGCTAGCAAACACATAAACTGCAGCAGGTTCAGGAGATACCTGGACATCAAAAATGATTCTGAAGTTCACTGACATTTTCAAACACTTCAGCAGTTTCAACCCACATTTGACTATCTGCACACTCACACAACAGGACAAGCATTTTAAGCACCCTAACAGCATGCCAAGCTAAGTGTCACCAGCGTAGACATAAGGGGAAGCAGAGTGAATCACTGCTGTTCTGCCCGGGGAACACGGAGGCAGTGTAAGACACAAACACTTGACAGAGCTACTCAATGGCTTTAAGACTCATCTACAAGCAGCGCTACACTGAGACACACGCGCACACACACAAAACCAAGATCCCCAAATTCAGTTGCAGTTTACTTATCTAAAAAAGTAAAAGCTAACACACATAAAAGAAGCTTCAATGTTAAAAGCATTAAGGTTAAAAATAATCTTACATTCAATTTAGAAAGTGACAGAGAAAGTTGCCTATAATCTTCAGCTTGGCCTCTTTGTGCATATGCCTTAGAATATGATAATATTATGTGTCATATTTTCTCTAAAAAAAATTAAAATCTATGCTTCATTCAAATCATGGATGTATAATCCCGATAGATCCATTCAATGAAGTGTAACACAGCCTGACCTGCTCCTGCCTTATTTATTGCATCATCTATAATGTGCACAGCGTACGGGGCACGAGATGGTTAAAAAAAGTAGAAGGAAGCATTAGCTCACAAATTCAGGTAAACAAATAGGTTTTAAGCATCGTACTGAATCACCCTATCTACATCGCAGAGGTTCTACAAGATGCTAAGTAAATACTTTTTAAAACTAGAGTACAGAAAGTCAGTGGTAATGCATTTCTCCAAGTAGCAGCAGATGAAGTATTAATTTACTTTTAGAACAGAAAAACTCCCACGTTATTCATAGAGGAGGCTTCTCTCATCCCTTCTTCCTGCTAGTTATCACTAGCCCAGCAACAGTTCAACAGTGAGTAAAGACTGAAAGGGCAGTAACAGCTGTGGAGCAATACAGCTTCATACATCTTGAAGAGCAGCACATAGACCCAGCTGATCTCTACTGCTCCACTTGCACTTACAGTGAAATTGAAGTCAAACCTTTGCTTTCAACACAGAAAATGCTAAATATTCTGAAAAATCAGTGCCCAAATGTTTCATGCTGAATTCCTGAAGTTAGCAGGTACTGCTATGTACGTCTGTCTACGTCTTTTCGTTGCCTTAGATCCTCATCTGTAAAGTTGGGAAAAATACCACCTCCTCATCTCCTACAGCTGTGAAAATACTCGAGCACAACACAAAATCCCATGGTCAGGGGAATCACTTTGTTTTCCAAGTGAGACACAATACAATAGACAAACCATGGAGCCTTCTACTGAAACAATGGGGACAAAGTATAACGTTATGCAAACACTCCTCCAGTGAGTATGATGCACTCAACACAAAGTAGGATGGAAAAATGACATGAGATCATGCAATCAACGACTAGATAAGGGTCTCACAGATATATCGTAACAAATTAAGATCAAGACCAATGTCTTTCTAATTTTACAAATACAAACAGAACAGAATTACAGCATAGGAGAAATCTCTTCAAATACAAGTCTAACCAGCTGTCACAGCCTCAATTACCTTACAACCCAAATGTCTATAATGCAGTTAAAGCTGCTCAATTTTGAGGTTTGCATTAAAGGATATCAGAAATAAGATAAAGAACACAGAAGAAATTTAATTCTAGAACAAATGTTGATGTACTACAAATACATTACGAATTATTTCAAATCTTGGTTTCATATATTAAGACTACTATGGATAATTAAGAACTATGTGCACTTTTAAAATCTATTTTCAAGATACTTGTAAATTACATGTTAGACATTTAAAAAAGAAATATGATTTATAGGCAGAAGACAGGTAATAAGCATATTACAACCTCCCTTTTTTGAATAAGTTTTTACTGACAATGGGAAGCTGTTATCAAATTGCATACGAGTGAGACCTCTCCAGTCAGATAGTCCAAACCCACATTAACTATGATGAATTACATGTTGCAATTTCCATAAGGTTACCTGCTCTCCATGCGAACCTCTCTCCTGAGGTTTAGAATTGCACCTTTAGGTAACCTGCTCTGTACACCAAATGGTATTAAAAGAAAAGCTGAATCTAATTAACTTAAAAATCATTGCAGCTCTTGCCATTAGCATAGCAAATATTTCTCAGTCACAGCAACTGTGCAATGCATTCCTTTTCGCTTGCTGCTAACTTTTCTTTTAACTCCAGACCGACCTCGCTACTTTTGAACACACTGTTGTTGTTGTTTTCAGGTTGCGCTATATCACACAGCTGCAAAAGAAAACAACTGCAGTTCATGTACAACTGGTTATTTCTCAACTATGGACTATTCTGTTTGTGCTTCCTGACCTAAGCTAGCTAACCAATTGATTTCTGGTTCAGGTTTAAGGTGTTGGTTTTGACTTACATAGTCATAAGTACTCTTTGGTCAAGTTAGAGGTGTGTGGTAGAAGAACTCTGATGAACCTTGCTGCAGTCATTTTAGACATTATCCTTCCACTTGCCCTCCTATAAAACACACTGCTCAAAGCCCAACTCAGACAGCATGCACCTATCAAACAGCAAGTTTTGCTTAGAATTTGGGTTGGGGCTTTGGTTTTTTTTCTTGTTGTTCAGCAATAAAACTGAAAA